TCCATAGTATGAAACAATATGGAGATGAAGTGACAGGATGGAACCTTATATAGCGCCAACAGGTGAGACGTAGGTCACTAGAAGAGGTAAGAACTCAGATGTTGGGAGGTCAGGTCCCTCTCAAATCCAGCCGTTCTCACTAGTAGAGGTTGTCGAAGTTGATTGTAGGTCTGTACCAAGATACCCTTGTGTTGCAGTGTCTGACAGATTGAACATTAAAATGGTATAGAATACCGACAGGTTGTTAGGTAAGACACATATGCAACAGTTATGTATCTTTATTTCGAAACGTTTCGCCTACACAGTAGGCTTCTTCAGTCGAGTACAGAAAAGTTGATAGAAGCAGAAGATACTTGAAGACGATGTAATCAGTCCATCACCCTTAAAGTTTTGAGGTGGTCAGTCCCTTAGTCTGGAGAAGAGCATTGTTCCATAGTATGAAACAATATGGAGATGAAGTGACAGGATGGAACCTTATATAGCGCCAACAGGTGAGACGTAGGTCACTAGAAGAGGTAAGAACTCAGATGTTGGGAGGTCAGGTCCCTCTCAAATCCAGCCGTTCTCACTAGTAGAGGTTGTCGAAGTTGATTGTAGGTCTGTACCAAGATACCCTTGTGTTGCAGTGTCTGACAGATTGAACATTAAAATGGTAGAAAATACCGACAGGTTGTTAGGTAAGACACATATGCAACAGTTAGGTATCTTTATTTCGAAACGTTTCGCCTACACAGTAGGCTTCTTCAGTCGAGTACAGAAAAGTTGATAGAAGCAGAAGATACACACTACCGATAAGGTGAAGAGATGGTTAAAGAATTAGGCAGCTGAAAGGTGGTGGGCTCAGATATTATCTCTCAGTGTTCTTGAGAGAAAGACAGAGGCAATATGTATTCCACTAACAATCTTCAACATATCTATCCTAACAGAGGAACTACCTGAAGTGTGGAAGACAATAAATGTTGTACCAGTTTTTAAGAAAAAAGATAGACCGGCAGCATTAAACTACAGACCAGTGTCATTCACGTATATATTATGTAAAGTCATGGAGAAGATTATCAGAAGAAGAGTGATTAGAACAAAAGCTAGAGAAGCAGGCAGGAATAACAGGAAATGTAAAGTAATGAATTAGAGAATACCTGACAAGAAGGAAACAATGAGTGATGGTACGTCATGAAGTGTTAGAGAGAGTGCATGTTATGAGCAGGGTTGTACAAGGGTCAGTCCTAGTGACGGCGTTGTTTGTGGCATACATGAATGACATGGAGGTAGGGATAGAACCAGATTCAGAGGTGTCCCTGTTTGCAGATGATTTGAAGCTAATGCGGAGAATTCGAACGTGCGTGGATCTCGTAGGACTACAAAGGAATCTGAGCAGAGTACTAACCTGGTCCTACAAATGGTTCTAGGTGTTCAAAACAACGAAGTGTAAGGTTATGTACAAGGTCAAAGAAGACCGCAGACGGAGTTCATAATACGGTTCAACGGCTGCAAACTTCACTCAAGGAAAATGATCTTGGGATCCTTGGGAGGCGCACAAACACCAAATAATTATTTCAGCATATCCAAGCCTGGCAAACTAAGACTAGCGCCTCGACTCCTGTGTGAGTAGTCATACAAGACACTGTACGCCATGTATGTCAGACCCACAATGGAATCCACTCCTAGCCCTTAAACTGTCGAGATCCCTGTTCACAAACTTGCGCTAAGTGTCGAAAAATATTCCACAAAAAAAATTATTTTCTCTTTCGAAAATCTTAAGAATAGTCTTCTGAGTGTTTTACACACACACACACACACACACACACACACACACACACACACACACACACACACACACACACACACACACACACACACACACACACACATATATATATATATATATATATATATATATATATATATATATATATATAATATATATATATATATATATATATATATATATTTTATATATTCATTCTTTTTTTCGATCAGCAGCTGCGAGATACAGAGGCGTGAAGTTGACAGAAAGTGAGCCGCTGATTATAACATCGGCGACTGGTGCTCGGTAATATTATTTTCACTTTTATACTATTTTTTTTTTCTTTTCTTGGCCACCACGCCAAGTAATAAGGAATACCTGACTCTCCGGCGAACTGGTACCCTTTCTTTCCCGTGTGATAGTTCTAACACAGATTGATGTGTCAGTGAAGATGAATCTTATGGTTTTGAGGAGTTTGTGGCAGAAAGTAATGACTATGTTACAAGAAATAGTGATGAAAACCCAACCATTATCAACCTTCCACCAAAAAAGTCAGTCAAAGTGACTTATTTGCATGTGGGTGGTAGGGAAGACAGCATAGATGGTGGGGAAGGCAGAGTGGGTGGTGAGGAAGTTAGCATCAGTGGTGAGGAAGGATGAGTGAGTTTGTGTAAACATAACAACGTATGTGTAGATTACCTAAAATAACCCAAAAAAGTCAGACAAAATTACTTATTTGCATGTAGGTGGTGGGGAAGACAGCATAGTTCGTGGGGAAGACAGTGTGGGTAGTGGGGAAGGCAGTGTGGGTTTGTATAAACAACATGGCTGACCGGCGGCTGGTTGGCTGGCTGGCTTGTTGGCCAGCTGGCTGGCCGGCCAGCCATGTTGTTTACATGTTGGTTAAAATCCCATCATGGGGGAGTTCAGCCAAAAAGAGACTGTGAAAATCTTGAGCAACATGGGAACCAGAGACGTGGAGGGCAATGATGCTGGAGACAGTATTGGAAAACCTCATGTATCAACATGTTAGGGACACAACTAGAGAGAGAGAGAGAGAGAGAGGAATGAATCAGCATGGCTGGACCTTGTATTCACCTTGAACAGTTCAGACACAGGAGATGTCACACACGAGAGGACCCTAGGCACTAGCGATCATGTGGTCTTGAGTTCCAAATACATAGTAGAACTAACAATAGAGAGTGAAGAGAGTAAATGAAATGATGGAACACGTGACTACAGCGTGTAGGGATGTAGTGGAGAACTTCTAGCGTAGGGGCAACAGAAACAACAGGAAGGCCAGAGTAAGCCCATGGTTTACCCAGACGTGTGGAGAGGCCAAACTGCTCTAATGTATGGAGAATGTTTAGAAGGCAAAGGACCCAAGAAAACGGAGTTGAGTATGCATGGATAAGGAGAGAAGCCCAGCATCAGTACGAGAATGACATATGATCCAAAGTTGCTATATAGTCACATCAGGAGGAAAACAACAGTCAAGGACCAGGTAATCAGGCTGAGGAAGGAAGGAGGGAAACTCAAGGAACTACCAGGAAGTATGTGAGGAGCTAAGCTCATGTTTCAGGGAGGCATTCACAATGGAGACAGGCTTCCAGCAAACTGAGGTGGTATGGTGCACCAGTAAGTGCTGGACACACTACACACAACCTAGGAGGAGGTAAAGAAATTGCTGGAGGTACTAGATACCTAGAAGGCAGTGGGATCAGATAATATCTCTCTTTGGGTCCTGAGAGAGGGAGCAAATGTACTCTGCACACCACTAACTACAGCTGTGGAAGACAGCAAATATAGTACCGATTTTTAAGAAAGGTGGCAGACAGGTTTCATTAAATTACAGACCAGTGTCGCTGACATGTATAGTAAGTATAGTTACGGAAAAGATTATCAGGAGAAGAGTGGTGTAGCATCTAGAAAGGAACAGCCTCATACAAGACAACCAGCAAGGCTTCAGGGAAAGGGAATCCTGCATCACAAACAAGTTGAAGTTCTACGAGAAGGTAACAGAAATAAGATAGGAGAGAGAGAGAGAGAGAGAGAAGAGAGAGAGAGAGAGAGAGAGAGAGAGAGAGAGAGAGAGAGAGAGAGAGAGAGAGAGAAAGAAAGATCGGTTGACTGTATCTTCTTCGACTGTAAGAAGGCTTTCGATACAGTATCCCACAAAAGGCAGGCAGGAATAGCATGGAAAATACTGCAATAAATCAGGAAATACCTGACAGGAAGGAAACAAAGAGTGTTGGTATGAGACGAGGTGTCAGAGTTGGTGCATGTGTCGACTGGGGTTCCATAAGGATCACTTCCATGTTCGTTGGAGTTTCTTGTATATGTGAATGATATGACAGAAGGGACAGACACAAAGGTGTCCCTGTGAAGCTAATGAGGAGAATGCAAGAATACAAGGATCAGGTAAACCTACATGGGAGATCTGGACAGGATGCAAGAATGGTCCGACAAGTGGGTTCTAGAGTCTAGTCCCAGCAAGTGTAAAGTTATGAAGCTTGTGGGACAAAGAAGACCACGTAAGAGATCAAAGGCTGCAAATCACACTCAAGGAAAAGGATCTTAGGGTGAGCATCATACATCTCCTGAGGTACATATCAATCAAATAACTACTGCAGCATATGGGCTCCTGGCAAACTTGAGAATAGCATTTCGACATTTAAGTAAGGGGTCATTCACGACATTGTACACCATGTATGTCAGGCACATATTGGAGTTTGCAGCGCCAGTATGGAACCCACTCTTGGTCAAACATGTCAAAAAATTAAAGTAAGGTTTGCAACAAGGGTAATCCCGGAGCCATGGGGCTTGTCCTACGAGGAGAGGTTAAGGGAACTCAACCTGACAATTCTGGATGACAGGAGAGATAGGGGGACTTGATAACGACATATAAAATACTGAGGGGAATTGACAAGATGATTAGGGACTGAATGTTTCCGAGATGGGACACAGCAAGTAGGGGTCTCAGGTAAAAGTTGAAAACTCATGTGTCACGAGGATGTTAGGAAGTACTTCTTCAGTCACAGTGTTGTCAGGAAGTGGAACAGTCTAGAGAGGGATGCAGTAGAGGCAGTATCTATTCATAGCTTTAAGAAGAGGTGCGATAAAGCTCATGGAGCAAGGAGAGAGTGGACCTATTAGCGGGGCCAGGAGCTGTGAATCGACCTCTGCTACCACATATAGGTGAATACACACAAAGTTGTCTGTCTTCAAGATTATCTTAACACTTTTTTTACAACAGGAATAGCAACGTGTGTGTCATTCAAGCCGGTGGACAAAAGTATCCTACTAGTGGGTCTGGACACTGGCGTGGTGCTGGAGATGTGTCTCACTGCCTCCTCACACCCATATATTCTTTACACCGCCCACAAAGCGCCCATCAGAGCCATTGTCTGGAATTCACATCACCACCAATTATTCGCAACATGTTCACTGGACTGGATGCTCAAAATCTGGATGCAACACTACACGTAAGTTACTCAGATTACTAATTTTAACACAGCACAAAAAGTATTCCTCATATTCGATAGCTATACTACACTTTAGCTGATACAATACTGTGTACGAATGTATGTTTGTAATATATATATAATATAATATATATATATATATATATATATATATAATATATATATATATATATATATATATATATATATATATATATATATATATATATATATATATGTGTGTGTGTGTGTGTGTGTGTGCAATAAGATCACAGTAAACAGGTTATATTACAATATGCAGAACAACCACTGTGAAAAAATAGTGAAATTAAAAGTGATTTCGTGACTTCTCACATCATCAAGGAAATACAAAAATAAAGCATCAAAAAGAGTTGATATAAGGGCAAGACTACTGTCACGTGACGACACCGACTCTCTGAAACACAATTGATACTCTACCCAAGCATTAAGATTCTTTACTTGTCTAATGTATCAATAAATTCTTCCCAAATTTTATTAATTATAAAAGAATCCAATTTATATAAACCAAAAGAAATATTCATATTATTTTCAAAACTGATTTTTATAAAACATGTTGCTGTTACATTGGTGTCTAGCATGGAACTGCCTGACACAACTTTCTCACCTTGATGAACACCAAGTGGATGGTTAAGATCTCTCACATGAGTACACAAAGCAATACAATCTTGTCCACTTCTAATGCTGTACTTATGGTGTTTTAATCTTAATTCAAGATTTTTGCCATTTTGACCGTAATATAATTTATCACATATTTGACAAGGAATCCTGCCTCCAGCACAACACTTTCCAGACTGTTCCACATCGTGACAGCTCTGTGACTAAAGAAATACATCTTAACATCCCTGTGATTCATCTGAGTCTTCAACTTTCAATTGTGACCCCAACTTGCTGTGTCCTATCTCTAACATTCTGTCTCTGTCCACCTTGTCGATTCCTTTCAGTATTTTATATGTTTTTTTTTTTCATATCCCCCCTATTCCTCCTGTCCTTCAGTGTCACTTTCTCTAATTTCCTGTCGTGCTTGTCTAGGTGTGGGTTCCAAACTGGTGCTGCTTACTCAAAAATGGGCCTGACGTACATGGTGTACAGGGTCCGGAACGACTCCTTGCTGAGATGCCGGAATACTATTCTTAGATTTGCTAGTCGCCCATATGCTGCAGCAGTTACTTATTCATGTGTGCTCAGGAGGTGCTTTTTCTTGAGAGAAGTTTGTAGTCATTTGACCCACTTGATCTTCCCTGATCTTCATGACTTTGCACTTCGTGGGGTTGAATTCTAAGAGCCAGTTGCTGGAGAATGCCAGCAGCCCGTCCAAATCCCTCTGTAGTCCTGCTTTGTCTTCCTCCGAATGAATTCTCCTTATTCACTTCACATTTTCTGCGAACAGGGACACCTCTCTATCTATTCCTTCCGTCATGTCGTTCACATATATCAGAAACAGCACTAACTCTAGGACTAACCCCTGTGAAACCCCGCCCGTCACAGGCACCCACTATGACACCTCATCACGTACTATGACTCGCTGATGCCTTCCCGTCAGGTATTCTTTGATCCATTGCAGTACCTTCCCTGTTATACCTGACTGATCCAGCAGGTTTTGTACTAATGTCTTGTGCGGAACTGTGTCAAAAACCTTCTTACAGTCCAAGAAAATGCAATCTACCCACCCCTTTCTGTCGTTTATAAGCTCATTCCTTTCTAGGTGGTCCAATACTCCTCTGATAATTTCTTTGCATACAATATATGTACAGTGACATTTGTCTGCTTTGTATATATATATAATATATATATATATATATATATATAATATATATATATATATATATATATATATATATATATATATATATATATATATATATATATATATATATATATTTAAATTGGGACTACATTTGCTGTATTTCATACCACTGGTAGAAGCACTGTTGTTAGTGGTACACAGAGCGCCTCTGCTCTCTTTCTCAGGACCCACGGAGAGATGTAATCTGGCCTCATCTCCTTTGAGGAATCTAGTTCGCTTAGTAGCCTCTTCACCTCGTCGTCAGTAGTAGGTATCGTGTCCAGCACTTGTGGGTGCACCCCCACCTCTCCGTCTTTACGGAGCCCTTTCTCTCTCCACTGTAAAAACTTCTTTGAATCTCGTGTTGAGCTCCTCACACACTTCTTGGTGGTTTCTTATAAATTCCCATCCTACCTTACTCAGCCTGATTACCTGGTCATTTCGATTGTTATCATCCTCATGTGACTGTAGAACAGCTTTGGATCAGACTTGGCTTTCTCTGCTATGTCATTTTCCTGTTGTCGCTGGACCTCACTTTACCTGTGTATTTTCATTTCGCTATCTTCGACTATCCTCTTTCTCCTGGGTTCTTTGGCTTCTATGCGTCTTCCATTCTATAATGCACGTGGTTTTTTCCTCAATTCACCTTTGGGTGAACTAAGGGCTCATCCTGGCCTTCTCATAATATCTGTTGCCCATGGGCACAAACTTCTACTCCGTTTCCTTGCTTATTGGCCCATTTAACATAACCTCACTTACTGTTTTCCTTGCCAGTTCTTTGTCCCACTGGACCTTGTGCAAGAAATTCCTCATGCCAGTGTAGACCTCTCTTTTGTAGTTTGGCTTCAGTCTTCCTGCCTCCATTTCCACTAGTAACTCGACTATGCAATCAAAGCTTAGAACCATGTGATCACTAGCTCCAAGGGGCCTTTCTTATGTGATGTCTCAATATTTGCACTGCTCAAGGTAAACACTAGGTCCAGTCTTATTGGTTCATCCTCTCTGCTCTCTCTGGTAGTTTCCCTAACGTGTTGATGCATGAGGTTTTCCAGTACAATCTCCAGCATCTTAGCCCTCCACGTTTCTGGGCCCATATGTGGCTCCAGGTTTTCCTAGTCGATTTTTTTTTTGTGATTGAAGTCACCCACAAGCAGTTTGGCTGTGGGTTTCTGAGGGTGGTTCTGTGGGTATTTTGCACACTCTGCTCCACTCAACTCTAGTTGTTCTCTACTGATTCTAGCTTTGTCTATCTTTTTGGCCTCTTTCGACTCTGTATAGTCTCTCTCAACTGTTGTCATTTTGTCCTCGTTCTGTCACGGTCTAGGAACATCCACCAGTATGTTGTTGATTCCTTTAGCCATGGTTTCTCCTGCAGGATCCTGTCCTGCACCGTTTCTATCTCAAAATTCAGTTTGACTGGCCGATTTCTCTCCTTTAAGTACCCCTCTATTCTTTGAAAATGTATTAAGTAGGACATGTCCTCCTCTATTCTTTGTTTGATGATATTTTCAATCTCTTTTTTTTTCTTTCTGCCATCTTTCATTATTTTCTTCTCTTCATTCTCCTGAAACCCGGGGATGAAAATTGACCTCTCCCTCTCCTCCTGCCATTGCTTTTCTCTCCGCATATACTTGTCCCACTGGAGAATCCCACAGATTACTATAGCATAACAGCTGATGATAGAGCAAATCTTTAATCATAAAAAATGCGTTATTGACTCTGCCTCTCTAAAAGTTCCTAATTGTGCATTTTTACTAAGAATCTTGTCTGGGTTATGCATGTACTGCAAGAATACATTGAAGCCATTAAAAAGGGAATTGTTGCAGTCTGAAGAAATATCCGTACATTGATGTTTATATTTCCACCCTTCAGGAGAATATGTGGAAACTCATTTGTTCCCCAGTTTATTCTAATCATCCCGACAGTTGTGCCCTCGTGACGCTGGACCTCGGGGCTCCGATGTCAGGACTGACCTGGTGCAACTACAGCAGCAGCGTCATCGTGGGCGTGACAGAGGACGGTCGTGTGCATGTGTATGATTTATTCCTACACAAGTGTCGGCCGCTGTGTGTCCAGAACCTACTACAGAGGCGGCGCTCCAGTGTTGCCTGCCTTGAGCTCAGCCCCTTCTTTCCCATACTGTTGGTGGGTGGTGACAGGTGAGTCTAGGTGGGAGTTGATCATAGGTAACTGCACATACTCGAAAGTAACAAATGACTGTGAGTAGCGATATCCTCTGCCCTAATATATATATATATATATATATATATATATATATATATATATATATATATATATATATATATATATATATATATATATATATATATATATATATATATATATATATATATATGTATGTCGTGACGAATATGTAAAAACTGGTCAATTAGCAAGAACTCATTTAAAATTAACTCTTTTCTAAAAATTTTTCTTATACGTTTAAAGATATATTTTTTTTATTAATGTTGATGTAAAAATTTTTATTTTTGCACCAAAAGGAACTTAGAAAACTTACCTAACCTTATTATAACAAGCGCAATTTATTTTAGCCTAACCCAGCTAAATATATTTTAGATTTGTTTACAATAATTTAATACTATACAAACACAGTGAAAAATATATTTTTTTTGTTAGGTTCAGAATGATTTTGGCGAAATTATTGCATACACAAATTTTCACTTGTCCTATATGGCAAGATGAACGTTGCTATTTAAGCCAAGATCGCAAGTTCTGCCTATTCGGCACGACATATATATATATATATATATATATAATATATATATATAATATATGTCGTGCCGAATAGGCAGAACTTGCGATCTTGGCTTAAATAGCAACGTTCATCTTGCCGTATAGTACAAGTGAAAATTTGTGTATGCAATAATTTCGCCAAAATCATTCTGAACCTAATAAAAAAAATATATTTGATTGTGTTTGTTTAGTATTAAATTATTGTAAACGTATTTAAAATATATTTAGTTGGGTTAGGCTAAAATAAATTGCTCTGATATAATAGGGTTAGGTAAAGTTTTCTAAGATTCTTTTGGTGCAAAATTAAAAATTTTTTACATTAACATTAATGAAAAAAATATATCTTTAAACTAAAAAAAAAATTTTAAAAGGGGACTTAATTTTAAATGATTCTTGCTAATTGACCATTTTACATTTTGGGCACGACATATATAAATTATATATAAAATAATAAATATATAATAAAAATATTAATATATATATAATATATAAATAAATTATATATATATATATATATATATAATATATAAAATTATATATAATATATATAATATATAAAATTTATATATAAAATTATATATAATGTAGGATAACAGGAGAATAACGTAAAGTAAAATTTTAAAATTTTTGGCAGAAATGATAAGAAATTTTGGGCTTTTACAAAGAAAAAAATGGTTTTCTAAAAGGGAAAAAAGAGAAGAACGTTAAGGGTCATGACTGCAAGTGTCTCCCAGCATATAAATGGAATACCAACTGACCCCAGCTCCCTTCAGGAGTGGGCAGAACGCCTGAATTGTATCCGTCACCCATACCGATCAGCGTTGGTTGCGTGCACTGGCAGAAAACAACCGGTTAATCTGGCCCTGATCCTCGTGAGCCCTTGTTAAAAAATCGGAGAGGGGGCGCTACCCCCGAACAAAGTCTTTTAGATAAGTAGTTTTGACCTGAGGCATAAAATAGTAAAAAACAACTTATGGTTTGGAACAAAAATTAAAACATTTAAACATTCAGTACAACACAGGAAAGAAAAGCAGAATGTTCTTCCTTTTTCTGTTTCAAATTAATATTTACCAACTTACTTTACTTTCCGGGCAATGAAAATAAAACATTAGGGTTCAGTGCTGAGCATTGAGAAAAAATACTAAGACGAGCGCTGGCCAAGTACGGGACAATTATTAGTTAAAAAACGCCAGGGAGAGATCTGGACTGTTGTACCATTTTCCCAAACACAATAATAACATGATTGGATTTTAAAGGGAAATTGATGAAAAATTCTAGCAATCAAGTATATAAAATTTGTAGATCCCTTAAATTGGGAGCCGGGGAAATTTCTGTGTCAATTAATTTTTTGGGGCTTTTTTTTTAAGCTTTTATGATTTAAAATGGTGGGGGCTTTAAATTTGGGGGGAAGAAGGTTTTAGTCAAAAGAAAAGGGGGTTTTAACAAAAAAACAAAAATTTGGGAAGAAAAAAACAAAATTTTTTGAAATTTCCAAAAAAAATTTAAAGAAATTTCCCGGAAAACTAAAAGATTCCCGGTCCAAAAGGACTAATCCATTTTAAAAGGCTTTTTTTTAAAAGGAGAAATTATGAGGTAAAATCCATTTAAAACCCGCCCTCCCCTCCATTCTTTTTGCCCAGTGATTTTAAAAAAAAACAGAACTTGCACCAATTTTTTTCTCAAAAAAGGCCCGGGTTTTTTTTTTTTTTCTTTATTTTTTTTTTTTTTATTTTTTTTTTTAAATTTAAATTTTTAAAAAAAAATTTTTTTTTTTTTTAAAAATTTCTCTTTCCTTTTTTTTTTTTTTTTTTTTAAAAAAATTTTCTTTTTTTTTTTTGCCCCCTTTTTTCCAGAAAACCCACTACAAATTTTGAATTTATTTTTTAAGGAAAAAAATTTTAAAAACAAATTTTAAGGGTTCAAAAACCCTTTTTAAAAAAAAAAATTGTTGGGGAAATTTTTCAAATTTTCGGAAAAAAACCCGAAATTTTGTTTAAAATTTTTCCCTAAAATTTTTAATTTTAAAAAAGGAATTGGAGTTTTTTAACCAATTTTAAAGGAAAAAAAAATTAAAATTTTTAAATTTAAAAATTTTTAATTGTGCCCCAACTTGCTGGGGTCCTACCCTCTAACATTCTGCTCTGTCCACCTTGTCGTTTCCCTTTCAGTATTTTTATGTTTTTTTTTTTCATTCCCCCTATTCCCTGCCTTCAGTGTCCTTTCTTTTTTTTTCCCGTGGTTTGGGTCTAGGTGGGGGTTCCCAAAAAAGGGGTGCTGCTTACTAAAAAATGGGCCTGACTTTCATGGTGTACAGGGTCCGGAACGATCCTTGCTGGTTTTCCCGGGAAATTTACTATTCTTAGTTTTTGGCTAGTGCCCATATTTGCTGAAAGGTTACTTTTTTTTCTTGGGGCTCAGGAGGTGCTTTTTTTTGAGAGAAGTTTGTAGTAATTTGCCCCAATTGACTTCCCTGTACTTCATGATTTTCCCATTTTCGGGGGGTTTAAATTCTAAGCCAGTTGGGAAAATCCCAGCGCCCGCCCAAACCCCTCGTAGTCCTGCTTTGTTTTCCCCCGAATAAATTTTCCCCTTTTTACTTCTTTTTTTTCTGCGAAAGGGGAAAACCTCTCTATCAAATTCCTTCCGTCATGTGTTCACATATTTTCAGAAAAAAGCACTAACTTAGGAAAACCCCTGTAAAAACCCCCCCTTTCAAGGCACCCAAGGGACCCCTCATCACGTACTATGACCGCTTTCCCTTCCCCGTCAGGTATTCTTTGACCCATTGAGTCCCTTCCCCTGTTTTACCTAAACTGTCCAGCGGGGTTTTGTATAATGTTTTTGTGGGAACTGTGTCAAAAACCTTTTACAGCCCCAAAAAAAATGAAATTTCTACCCCCCCTTTTCTGTCGTTTATAAGCTCTTTCCCTTTTTTTAGGTGGCCCAAATACTCCTTGATAATTTCTTTGCAAAAAATATATGTCAGTGACATTTGTCTGCTTTTATTTATATTTTTTATATATATATATATATTTATTTTTATAAAATATTTATTATAAAATTTTATATTTAATATATATTTATATATAAAATTTAATATATATTTTTTTTTGGGGGATACATTTGCTTTTATTTATCCCAAAGGGTAGAAGCACTGTTTTTAGGGTACACAGAGCGCCTCTGCTTTTTTCCCAGGCCCACGGAGGATGAAATTTGGGCCCCTCATCTCCTTTGAGGAATCTGTTCGCTTGTACCCTCTTCACTCGTGTCAGTAGTAGGTTTCGTGTCAGCATTTGGGTGGGTGCCCCCCCACCTCCCCGTCTTTACGGACCCCTTTCTCTTCCACTGAAAAAAATTCTTTGAATTCGTGGGGAGTTTCCTCACCCCCACTTTTTGGTTTGGTTTCTTATAATTTTCCCAAATCCTACCTTACTCAGCCTGATTACCTGGTTTTTCGATTGTTATCACCCTCTGTGATGTAGAACGCTTTGGTTTCAGACTTGGTTTCCCTCTGCTATGCATTTTCCTGTTGTCGTGGACCTCATTTTTTACCTGGGGATTTTCATTTCGCTATTTTCGATATCCCTTTCTCGGGGTTTTTTGGCTTTATGCGTCTTCCTTTTCTATAATGCCCCGGGGTTTTTTTTAACCCTTTCAATTTCCCCCCAAACCCCTTTTTGGGGTTTTTGAATTTTTTAAGGGAACCCCATCCGGGGGCCCCATTTTTTCTTTTTAAATATCTGTATTTGCCAAATTTTTGGGGGCCCAACTAAACCTTCAAAAAACCTTCCGGTTTCCCCTTTCCCCTTTTTTTCCCAATTTTAACATAATTTCATTACTTTTTCCCTCCAGTTTTTTTGGGCCCCATGGGCCTTTTTATCAAAAAATTTTTTTTGATTGAGAACCCCCTTTTGGGGGGTGTTTTTTGGGGGGTTTCCCGGGGGTATTTCCACATCTGTTTCCATTAAAATTTAAAAATTTTTCTCATTTGGTTTCCGGGGCCTTTTCTTTTTTTGGGGCCTTTTGGGACTGTTAAGTCTTTTAACTGTTTTATTTTTCCCCTTCTGCCTTTTAAAAAACCCCCCAAATTTTGTTGTTTTTTTGAGGTTTTCCAGCAACCCTTCCGGGCCATTTTTTAACAAAAATTCTTTCCGGGCCCCTTTCTTCCTTTTTAATTTCGTTTTTTTTTGGGAAATGAAGTAACCAGGCTTTTCCTTTTTTTTTGGGGGTTTGGGGGTATTTTCAATCTCTTTTTTTTCTTTTGATTTTATTTTTTTTATCTTTTTCCTTTTTTAAAACCCGGGGGAAAAATTCCTCTCCCCCCTTTTCCATTTTTTCCCTTTTCGTTTTTGCCACGGGGGAACTCCCAAGTTTTACTTTTAGCTTTCCTGAGGATAGGAAAATT